GCCGTTGAATAAGAAATGTTTCTTTCACAAGAAATGTATAAAAGTACAGTACTGTATTAGACTTACGGTGCCTAATTTACATACTGTACAGACGATAGTAAACTCAACTTACTCGCCTAAACTCTCCGTAGCATGGTGCTGGACAACGGAAAGTATATATATATAATTATAATAAAGTTACAATAAATTAAGTTAATATATAATTATATATACAGTACCTAATTTATATATAATTATATGTACAGTACTAATTTATACCTAATTTATATATAATACTGTACAGACGATAGTAAACTCAATTTACTCACCTAAATTCTCCGTAGTGTGGCGCTGGACGGCAGAAAGTAGTTCAGCTGCCCGATGATGTTTTACCGAATTATAGGAGTTTTTTTACCAGGTTTGTATGGATACTGTCGCAATTTTTTCGCCATCTTATAGGAATCGTAATTATAGGAACCCGTGTTATAGAGGAGTCTACTGTATATCCAGACATTGTATTTTCTATATCAAACAGTCTACAAAATGTTTGCTATTAAAGGTAACTCATAATAATAGGAATGTATAGGCAGTGAAAAAGTAATCAAGGGTACTGTTCATATTGGTTGATGATCATGTGCAACAAATTGACAGACAGGTTTGTGAGCAATGTCATTTTACAATCTCTGAACTTTAACTGGAATTCTTTACTGGAAGTGTCTCAAATACTATTGTATGAGATTGTCAAGCACTCACTTGATTATTGCAAATTTTGCAAAATGGGTGCCAGAAATGCTCACCAACATTGACAAAACTCAAAGAATATCAGCCACTTTGACATTTTGCAGCAGTATCACGATGATGGGGATACATTTCTTGATAAGTTTTTTACAGGCAACAAAATATAGATAAAGTTTGTCAATGTAGAAATGAAAAAGCAGTCTTGAAAGTGGATACTCACATATTCACAAAAACCAAAAAAATTCAAGCAATGTTTTTGGTTTTTGTGAACCATGAAACTATACAGACTTACTTTGAAACTTTGAAAAAGCTACGTAGAACTATTAAAACAAATGAAGAGGAATGCTGATGCCAAATGTTTTGTTTCTGCATTAACAATGCAAGCCCACATACACCTGCATGCACAAAAGACCTATAGCAGTTTTGTTGGGAATTGTTTCTGCACCCATCATATAGTCCAGACCTTGTCCCTAATGATTTTCATCTTTTCTTATGGATGAAGGTTTGGCTGAGAATACATTTCCACACAAATAAAGAGCAGACAGATGTGCATGCTGAAAGTTTGAAGTTAAATGCTTACTGAATAGTCTATGTAAACATTATAGTGAACAAAATTTAATTTTATTTACTTCACTTGTATAAAAGAATATTTTTAGATAATAGTGTTTGTCTGATGATAAATTATAATTATTATGTTTTTTTTTTAAACTTGCAGATACTTCAGTTTATTAAATAATTATTTTTGTTTTTATTCATTTTTTATTTACATTTAACAAGCATTAACTTTGTATGTTAAAAGAATTTTAGTATATTTCTTTTGGTTTAATATTGATATCCATATTTTCATTTTAGTTGTTTTTCAAAGAATGAATGAATTAAACTATTTCTACACAAATAATAAATTTAATTTTTTTAAAACTTTTGGTGATAATTCAGTTATATAAGCTTACTGGTGGTAAATTTTAATTATTTTAGGGAGCTGATGATCTTCTAGTCAAAATTTGGAGTGCTTCAGATGGTCGCCTACTAGCTACATTACGAGGGCATTCGGCAGAAATTACAGATATGGCAGTTAATTATGAAAATACATTATTGGCAGCAGGCAGTTGCAATAAACTTATTAGAGTTTGGTGCCTTCGTACTATTGCTCCTTTGGCTGTATTAGTTGGTCACACAGGAATGGTTACATCATTACAGGTAAGTGATTTTAATGAACTTAACTTTAACTTAAAAATAATTTGTAAAATTTGTAACAGAAAAATAATTTGTATAAGACAAGATTATTCAAAAACATATAAAATATATATGCAATTTTAGTAGTTGTTTTAAATTGGATATAATGATTTTGTTTTCTTATAATATTTGATTTTATTCTGATATATATTTGGTTGAAACATAACTAATGTTTTTTTCTAATAATTGTTTTCATGCTATAGCATAACTTGTCAGCTAAAATGGTAATTTTTTAATTACATAAGTTTTAATAACGATTTTCATAATGGTTTTTATTATTTAAAAAAAATTAAACTATTAGCATCAATCAAAATGAGCTTATGAGAAGAATATTTAATGCAAGTAATGGTATTTGAGTTTAAAAAAGTTTACACTGCATTTACACAACAAAAATTATATGTAGTGTGTATGGCAGTGAGGTCTTAAATGCCAGAAAATATCAGCATTGGTTCAAAAAATTTAGGATGGGTTTTTAATCTGAAAGATAAGCTTTACTTTGGACAACCTTCTGGCTTAGAAAATGTTGATATTGTTGCAGTATTGGAAACTGACTGAAAATTATCTAGATGGAAAATTGCATAAAAACTTATGTCTCCATCAATAGCAATTAGGCAGTTGTACCATCTAGGAAAGATAAACAAGTATGGAATGTCTGTTCCATGTGACATTACTGAACAGAATCATCTGGATCAATTATTTGTCCGAAACTTACCTCATATCTCTTTATTATTCATGTGTGTTTCACTTCTTAAAATAGGCAACAACAAATTCCATTTCTGGACAAAAAAAATTAATTGGGATAAGAAATGAATATTATATGTTTATAGCATTCAAAAAGACAGTGATTAGATCTAAAGGCTACTCTAGCTCCAGAACTAAAGCATGGTCATCATTTTTGAAAGGTGTTGCTCTTTGCATGTGGTGTATTTGGGGGGAATACTGCATTGAATTGTTGAAATCAAACCAAATAGTAAATGCTATTAATATTTTATACTGTCAGCAAATGAAAAATCTTTGTAAAATTTCCAAGAAAAACCTCTTTATTTGACAAACAGGAAGAGCATTATTTTATTACATGTTAGCATTCAATTCCTTGTTGAAATAATCACACAACAATACTTGAAAAAGATTAATTGAAATGGTCTATCTCATCCTTATAGCACTGATTTGGCACCTACAGATTACTACCTCTATCTAATAGAAAACCAGAATCTCAATTTCACTAATAATCAAATGAGAGAGCTGAATTAATTATTGTTATTATCTGTTAATTATCAGGCTTGATCTGGAAGTGATCAGATGTAGGTCCAGGTATCATAATTAACAATGTATCTGCACAGTAAGCTGGAGTTGCTGTTTGAATTCTGCTCTATATTGATCTTTTTCTCCTGGATAGACTTAATTGATTATTTTGTTTCTAATTTTTAAATTTAATACAAGGTGATGGCATAACTATGTACCTTCAGTCTGAATTAATTATACAGCTAATCTAATATCTGTATAATTAATTTTTCAAGTTTTTGCCTGATAATTAATTTGATTATATCATTTGATTTTTCTGATAAATTGAAATCTAATCTTGTTTACTTAATAAATATTTTATATCTTGTTTTTGATAAATCTTTGTTATTTTATATTTTTTATAAATAAATATATCATCACACAGAAAATCGTCACCCTATAATTTTAGTTTCGTGCTTTTTTGTTTTATTATTCTAAATAGCTGTTGACACATTTCTCATTTCATCTATTGGTTAATGTGCAATACTTAGTTATTTTTTTAATAGATTATTTTACTTGTGTATTTTATTTTTATTAATAAACAAAAAAATTTATATGATTAATAATTTTTATCTTTAGTATCTGAATAAGATGCTCTTGTCTTATTTTGCAAATTTCTCACAAAATTATAATACATCATTTTGAGATTGGCTACGCTTAATTTTTCTGGTGTTATTTTTGGGATAAAAACTATACTTAAATTTAAAGACTTTCTTATTTGTCTAAATTGGACCATCTACAAAATGGAAACCTGCTTAAACATAAAATGAATCTCAGAATGAAATTATCTGAAATATAGAATACTACTATAAACTGGAAACATGTCTAATACAGAAATGGAACATTTTTTGAGTACTAATTGCATAACAACAGTAAAGCAGAATTTTTCTACATAATAGCAACTAATTTTTAAATCATAATTAATACTATGACTTGGATTATGGTCAGCTTCTCACTGATAAGAGTTGCAGATATATCATTGTCTTATTATCTGGAAAGTAATTCAGACACTGTAATACTAGTTTCTTCCAAACTTTCTAGACATACTAATATTCTTCCACAAATAGTAAATAGGGAAGATATCGTGTATTAAAAATCTAAAAGTTACAAAAAATAATTTGATGTATTCACATTTTTTCATAAATAAAAAGTATTAATCAATTACAGTGAAATGTTTTAGGATGAAATTCTTTCACTCCATGTTAGCTAGACAAAACAAGAAATATTCTGCCATTTGGCAAAATTTGTAGAACTAGCCAAAATTCAATACTGTATTAATGAAATGAGGAATAACAAAAATTACTTTTTAGAAGCAATTATTCTTGTATACTGTATAAGAATTATTTTAAATAAATATTGAAAAGTTCTATATTATTCAACACTATTTAATGAAGTAACTGTTGACTAACAAGCGGTATATTCGCTTGCTCATCAGTGGAGAAATTAAAACACATTGTGGGTATCAGATTTAAACATTATTTTTTTCTTTGCATATCACTTACACCTTTCAGTGTTTTCAACATCTCTTTGAAACATAAAATACTTATGCTAGTGGAGGAGCAGTTTTAAATATAATTTGTGACATTTTTTTTTAACCTTTCTCTTTTTCTGTATTAATAAGTACATAAACATGTATAAAATAAATTGACAAAACAGAAAATTTTGGCTGCTATTGCTTATATATAATACTAGCTGCAAGGACCTGCTTTGCTGGGTTTTTATTTGTTCATACATTTGTATGTAATATGGTTTTTTTTATATATATAAAAGACTTTTTTCTAAGTAATCTATAATCTAGCTGCAAGGACCCGCTTTGCTGGGTTTTTATTTGTGGGCAAAAAGTAACGATAGTGAAGATTAATATAATTACATTATAGCCAATCTTACCCGTTTTCACAGAATGCAAGAATTAGGTCCCCCGTTTCCAGACTAATTAGAGAATTTTTACGTCCAGTTA